GATGCATGGACAGATGAATAGATGGATGGGAGGATGGATGCACACATGCATGCATCCACCTGCTATTTAGGAATCCACAGCATAAAGAGAAAGTCTAAGCATTGTGAAGAAAACCCACAAATGCGTGATGACAACTTTCATGAAGCAAAACTGTTTGCCCATAGCTGAACCTTAGTTGTGTGGGAAAAAAAAAAATCAACAATAATAATAAAAATTGGGCCAAGTAATAAAAAGCATCAACATACGGTATTTAAGTATTTAAAAGGAAAAGGTAAGGCGAGCATCCAATGTCTGAAACTAGAAACATTCAATAGCTGGGAAAAGATTGTGTTTCTACAAGACGTTTGTTATAAAAGTTCTTCTGATTTGGTGACATACAAAAAAAAATCATTATAGGTTATTAAAACTATTACGGTAAACATTTTGCAGTAAATTACATTAAACTAAAAATATATATATGTGAGCACTCACTACAGGAGAACGACTGCCACCTACCAGTTGCAAATACAAGATAGCAACAAAAAAACAGATATAAAGGCTCTCTACGTTTAAAATGTGCTATTAATGGACCCCGCTTTCTAATGCCGGCCTGTTCTGGGGAAAAAACAAACACCCTTGCTCTTCTTAATTACTTGTGATGCATTCATTTTGCCTTCTTGACCAGATCCCTTGATATAATCTTAATCTCTAAACAATAACTAATCTTGAGTATTAATTATTTATCAAATGTAATAAGATGATTACGTTGTCAATGTGGTGATTTTGTTGCTTTTCATGCATAATGTGTTTGCTGAGTTTCACTTGGCCTGAGGTAAACTAAGTTACCGGTATCAGAACTCCACAAAATGTACTCTCTAAAAAAGTACAATGGAACAAATTCACATGATATCCATTAAAAGCCTTGTAAAATTATATGGGCAATTTGTCTTTGAACTCTTTTTTGTTTTTGGTCTTTTTTATTGTTTTTCATTGTCTGGTCTGTGAGTAAAAAAACAAAACAAAACAACAAAAAAATGGTGATTTTACCGTTAGTGAATTCACTTCAAAATCAGTTAGAACTCCATCATTTGATGATTCGTTATTCTGTGTTTCTCATTACTTTATTCCCTTCAGATCATTGCCTCTGTCAGAGTGTGTGTATTGTGCTTGACTCCACTGACCACATGCTATTAGAGCAGCGGCCTGCAGTGTGTTTGAACTGGTTACTGCCTCACAAAACAGCCCTCTGTGTGTTGGCCTCAGCTAAAGAAAGACGTTTGTATTTATAGACATTTGTAAATACACGCGAGTTATATTTGTCCAGCATGGCTCAGTTTATTTCTGGATATTGTGTCTTTGGTGTGTGCCTTTGTGAAATCGAATAAAACAACAAAATAACTCATTCCTGCCACGGGATTCTTTTGTGTGTGTGATGCTTTTAGACAAACCAGCATTTTAAGATGAAGTCCTAAAAGGATGTGGAGCTAAAACTGCAATTTTCAGGGGTTTTTATTTTAAATATTTAAGCAATAACTAGTGAAATTGTTGTTTTTTGTTAACCTTTTCATAACATGAGGACCCAAATTTGGGTCCTCAGCACTCGCCCTAAGATGGTTTTTAGACCTGTAACATATTCTCTGGGGTCTTGCCTTTATTTTGATACCTAAACAATTAAAATAAACTCTGTAGTTCTTGAGATATATTAAATTCATTTTGGGCATGTTATTTTCAAGCATATTTCTTGAAAACAGGCCTAGTGTCCAAGAGGTTTTAAATGATGACTTCTCCCACTGTTTTTCAGTGCCTTAGGTTGATCAAAAGCTGCATGACAATTTTTACCCTTCCTTCGGATGACAGCAGAATTAGTATAAGTTAAATCCTCTGATTAGAGCCGCATGTCTTCAATAATACATTCCAATCATGCATAAAAAAAACAAATTCCCTCTTAGTTTTAGAAGCAATTTTCTGATGACTGATAAACTGTCAACACAAAAGGGTTAAAAGCTGGGGGGAAAAAAAAAAAATAGCCTATATGAAAAAAAAAAAAAAAAA